GTAAACCCTAATGTAAACCCTAATGTAAACCCTAATGTAAACCCTAATGTAAACCCTAATGTAAACCCTAATGTAAACCCTAATGTAAACCCTAAGATTAATAATATATATACTAGTAAGCTGCTACAGCTACTACTATTTTTTTTATTATTAAAAAATAAAGCTATATTTAGAATTATATTAATTATATAATACTTATATACAGCTAATAAAAATAAAAATCTATTATTAAAATTATATATACTAACTAATATTATTTTAATTTATATATAACTGGAGTAGGCGATAAAAAGTCTAATTTACTTTAGATTATACTATTTTAATATAAATAGTTTAGTTATAATATTAAATAATATACTAGCTTTTCTAAATAAGTCTTTCTATTATATATTAAAGATAGAGAATTATCTACTTAATTATATTATTAGACTCGGATTAAAAAATAGTAATTAACTCGGCTGAATATTTATATAAAATCTTTTTTAGATAGACTATCTATTCAGTTATATATAACTAGAAGTTGATATTCTAAACTTTATTTATATAGATAACTTAGTTTTTCTGTTAGTTTTAAACTTGCTTTTATATATAGAATATAATATTTACTATATAATTAGTTTTTTTAGTAGGATTAGATAAGGGATTAATTAGTTTTTAGATATAAATATATTAAAATCTAAACTATAATAAAAATAAATATTAATAGCTAATTATTTTATATAACTGCCGCAGCTTAGCTTTATTAATTATATATTTTTATAAACTAATCTGATTATAGTAGAAGTTCTAGATTTATCTATAAACAGTTTTCTAATAATTATATATACTATTTATAGTCCCAGAGACAGTATTATCTATTTAAATAAAAAAAATATTAGAAATTAGTCAATCAAGCTGATAGAAAAACTTAATATAATTAGAATTAGAAGTAAGATTTTATTAAATTATTTAATTCTAAATTTCTACAGCTTGTTTATATAGAATCTAATAAATAGATTATTTAAAATATTAGATAATCTTTTTAAACCAAATATTATGTCGGTATTACTTATAAATTATAACTAAATAAAATTTGATTTTTTTAAAATACTGGTTTTCTATAATAGATTGTAGACTTAGATTGAATTAAACTAATTAAAGATTAAAATAGATTATTCTAAATTTTAAAAAGATATTTAATAAAAGAATTTAAGAATTAGTTACAGCTGAAAAACTTCTAATAAAAAAATCCTAAAATTTAAAATAATTATAAAATTTTTAAATATCTTTTAATTATATTATAAATTTAATAATAGATACTTAGATATATTTTATATTAATTATTAAATTTTTATTATCTTATCTTCTCTCTATATAATACTATTTTATATATAAAATTAATAATATTAAACCTTTCTCGGCTGCTCAGCCAGCTAATTAAATTAAAGCAGGAAGACCTATTCTAATCATATTCAACCTTCAATGTGACAACCCTTCTGGAATAGGTACTTGAAAGCCTTGGCGACTGGATGTTCCCAAGGATTTTGGTGGTGGTTGGGTTTTTGGGAGGTTTCCGACTATAAGATAAGCATTAAGGTGGAAGATTATTTTTTCTATGATTCTCGATACAGCACAACAGCGCGAGAAAATTCCGAAAATAAATGCTCACGCTACCATGCCACCTTCCCGAATCCATTGCTGGAGACTATCAAGGTTCAGAAGACAGTCTTGGTGCATCTCACAGGCATCGGTCCAATGTTTCCGTACAAGAGAGTCTTCATTCATGCGACATAGAAATGAAATGAATCCTTCCTTGTCTGAGGTCGTCCTATTCTTGCCCTTGGGTGTGTCAGTATTTTTGTCGCTCCAGTTAATAGTTGGAGGGACTGAGCTGCCAATAGTGCTCATCCAACCCATGGAAAGAGCAGATTCAATTGCTTCTTGGTTGCTATTGAAATAGAGAAGCATCCGTCTATTGAAAGAACTCCAACCCAATCAACACCAGCAGTGCCCGCTATAGGAGAGAATTCTTCGAATACTAACCGCGACTCCTTCACTCAATCACCATCCGCCACAACCTACCGAGAACCCAAATAGCCCCTCTAACCTACTCTCCTCCTCCTTCTCCTCCTCCTCCTCCTCAACCGAACCCGCCCGCCACCTCGCCCCAAAATCAACAACCGACCTATGCCTCTGTCCTCCAGCAATCTGTCGCATCCACGCCAGGATCGACTCCTTCAACGCAAAAGCCTATCGCTTCCGCAATACCTGCAAACCCCGTACTCACAATCGAAGATCTTCACCGCCGTTTTCACAACAAGCCGTCATCGTTCCAGCTCGAGGATAAACCAAAGCAACGTGCGACTAAACGAGTTCGAAACAAATCCGCGTCTGTAACACAGTCACTGTCCAAGATTTTAGCTTCAGCTTTGCCCGCGTTCTTGCAGTTCTTAACAGAAATGCAGGCAAATTCGGTCGCTTGCTGTCCGTCTCATCCGCAATTCTACTATAGACGCGCCATAAGGGCGGCCTAACACCACAGATGGCAACAAGGCCACGACAGGCTTACCAGGTGAGACTCAAAGTTCACCGTCAGGAAGTTTGGGACAATCTCGGGAATCAAACAACATGTATTTAGGAAGTAGTCGTATGTTGCATATCGCTCTCAAGCGAGGGGTCAGGGTAAATGACATCAACCAACCAACCAACCTACTGTACCAGCGTGATACTGGATAAGACCTTCTTCCTTACACCTCTCGAGCGCCCACCCTTAAAAAACACCAAGATGCCTCATGTGAAGGACAATCTTAGAAGTGGTGTACCTCACTGCGATGAGCTTGCTGTCGGCCCCCTGACTGTCCAACGTGAGTATATAGTCCTCTTTTACTATGGAGTAGTTGAGGAAAACGGTCATATTCGGGACCTTGGGCAGTAAGGTAAGCCGGGAAACATACGACCAAGTGGAAGGTCATCTGGTAGGGGGCGTATAAAAATTATTATCATACCTACTGACCGGTCGCTAGGGCCCGAGTGAACTTGCTTCTTCCTACATACCCATAGCCAAAAACAATAACAAATTAAAGGATTTCTGTTTCTAAATTACACCTCCAGTTCAACTAAGTAATCAAGGAGGTGTCCTCAAGCAGCGACTTCAAGTTCGGACGTTGATAACCACTTTCTGGCCTTGACCATCGCGATAACGGTCAAGGATCTTATTCACAGTTGTGGGTTCCAATCCCTGAATAGTACTGAAAGGTAAAGGTCGCATGGCACCTTCTTTCACCCAGCTTGCCACTCTCTCCCAAAACAACTTCGAAATTTCAGGGTAAAGTGCACTGAACCCGAATGTCATCTTGTGCTCGTATCCAGCTGTCTTAGGTCCAATCTCAGCGGCACTGAATCTGACCTCTGGAATTCGATTGAGAGTGATCAGACAGCCCTTTTTGGTATTCGACAGAACCGCAAGCCCCAGCTTTTGCTCCTGAGCATTATTTACTGTATCGAACACGTGCACTAAGCTGTCACCAGTGATATCCCGTATCTGCTGAATATTCGCTTCATATCCAGCATGCCGATCAATTATGTGAGTAGCCCCGAGTTGCTTTAGCTCGATCTCATTTCTAGCAGATGCCGTAGTGATGATTCGACCAAATCCAACTTGTTTTGCAAACTGAATTGCGAATCTCCCACAGTTCGAGCCACCACCAATAATGAGAATGGCTGTGTCGAGAAACTCGGAGGTTGCTTGAGACGCGGGAGTGGACGCAGGGGGGATTGGCAGGGCCATTCCAGTTGAGTGGAAAAGGGCGACGAAAGAGGCAATGGCGCAGACAGGGATTGTGGTTGCTTCTTCATCGGTAAGACCGGCAGACTGCACCTTGGCGGCAAAGCTTGCATTCACAACCGCATATTGCTGTAAGGCACCAGAGTCGGTCAACACCTGACCCGGAATGAAGTTTCCCTGAGCAAAGATGTGATCGCCGAGTTGGAATTTAGCAGGACCTGCTTCTTTGCCTATTCCGATCACTTCACCAGCAAGCTCATGACCTAGAACTTGAAAGGACTGCTTGAAGAAAAGCCCTTCGTCACGAGTCTTCTGGTCTGCTGGATTGACTTTATTAAACCGATTGGATGGCATAGCATTAATATCAACAAACTTGAAAAATGTAGCTTGTGTGGAGATAACTTACGACTCGTAGCCGTGACACGTAGAAGTAGCTCGCTGGGTCCTGCTTGCGGAATGGGCCGGTTTATCGAGATGGCCGGTTTCCCAACTTCATCGATTACGATGGCTTTCTGCATGATAAGAGCACAGTCTCCAGTTTGCAGGAAATTGTATGGAAGGATTTGAAGTGGACAGGTGAGGGCTACGTGCGTCTTTTCTATTACTCACTATCTGATCGTATTTGTGGTTACAGTGGCGAATCAGAGTGGAGCCCGGGGGGAAGCTCCGCCGGAGCTCGGCATCGAAGCATTTCTCCACTTCACGTGTGGATCAGTGAGAAAACTCCTTTTCGGAATTATGAGTTACAATGCTGCGCTACTTTGAAGGTGGACATAATAGGACATTTGACCGTTAAATCCGAAACAGTAAACCGTATTTCTAAGCAGTCGACACTACCGGATAGTTCGAAGCAATGAGTAGGTGTCACTGACATCAGTTGTCTTATCTGAGTCCGTCCGACTCTGATACTATGATTACGTGTTCTCACTAAGGCTTTCTATCTGATCACTGGAAGCTCCAGATGAATTCGTCTTCAGTTTCAGGGATTCCTTCAGCAGTTCAAAACCAGAGTTTGTTATGTCCCCTTGGATGTAACCAATAGAAGAGCGTGCAAAATGCCGCGAAATTTGTGGCCAATGCCCTTGATGGCTGGGGCCCAGATGCATTCATCAATAATTCGGGTATCATAAATTACAGCCCCATTGAAGATATGTAGGGTTAAATACAGTATGACTTACATTCCTATCTCAAGGGATGATCTGGAAGAGACTTTCCAGATTAATGTGGCCGGGGTGCATAATGTCATCGGGGTTTTTCTGCCGATTATGAGGAACGGTGATCAGAAAAAAAGATTCTCAACATGTGAGTAGCTGATACTACTGTCGTAACATATCAACTTATGTCTCTTTACCTATACGTCCTTGCAGATTTTTACCTGTGTTCAACATTGTGGGGAAGAATATAAGATAAACCATTTGCTACCATGTAGTCAGATTCAAGTAAAACGTAGCTTCAGCACGGATTATTTAAATAATACAACGTGGAGCTTCCACTCTCAGGGAATATAACTCATGCAGCAAGCGCAAGACTGGCAGCACATTCCAACGCAAAACCAAAGCATCGAGCATACCACCCTTGTGACCAGTAGCTTAATTCCATGCAATGAGGAGCGCCCTTGACCAAACTACCATCAACGCGAGAACTGTTCTTGAATGCCTCGATGCAGGTCTTGACTTCCTCTTTAGTAGCCTTAAAAAAAACGTCATCTTGAACAAGCGCAAACATTACAGGCGCTTTGACATGGATGGCCCAGTCCTCTTTCCACACGGGAAGCCAATTCCCAGGGAACTGCAGCATTTCAGCATACGGGGATGCTGCATTGAGGCGCTCACTGCTATCCAAAACCTCACTGTCAACAGTTCCAGGAAGGAACATAACTTGATCCTTGAACTGCAAAGGGAAGACGACGCTGTTGGGACCGGCATTTGGCTGAGGAGCAGGGCTTTGTTTCATGGATTCAGACTGCTCATCTCCCATTCCGGAGAGAATTAATCCTCCCAATGGGTACTTTAGCTCCGGGTCTTTGGCGTGATTGGCCGCAGCGACAATACCCCCCATTGAGCCGAAGCTGTGGCACAGAAGCACGATGCAAGTGCAATTCAAAGGAATACCAAACTCAGACCATAGGGCTGGGAGAATGTATCGATGAAGCCAGAAGCCAGTTTCCGCAAAAAAATTGGATCCCTCGGGTATCGGAGAGGGAGAGCTTGTGTCTCCATAACCAGGTCGGTTAATAGAGATAAATGGAACACCTAGTGAAGCACTAGTTGCGGACGCAGAGAATCGTGGAGTAGCGTCGAAGTATTGACAATCGTATGTCCCACCATGGAGAGCGACAACCAATGGAACGTGACAAGCAGAAGCGGTGGAAGTTGACGGGAAATAGTGGATGCCAGACACTGTGGCATCATTAGCCATGGCTAATTTGAAAGGTTGCATCGTTGCTTGGTGTGTCAAGTCGCAAGAAATTGAAAGCGGCTTGAAGCTCCGAGTCTTCACAATTAGTTAGGAGAGATTCAAAAGTTTCGATGATCTGAGTTACCTAAGTATAAAAAGTTAAATTCAATCGAATTGAAAATGTATCCAAGGTTTTTTCCTCCTCGAAAGCAATCAAAGAAAATGGGTTCGAGCCAAAATATATAATCACAACCAGGCCGGACAATTTCCTCAAATGATGACACACATCATCCGTTGGAACAGTTTCACGGCGATAGGAGCAACCGGGCTGATGATTAATGCCCATTCCATGGAGTATTAAGGTTTACCTTAAATTTGGCTCCCGGAATTAGTAATCCAGGCGCGTTGAATTGGGTCGGGAAAACTTTGAAGCTAATAAAATATTGAGTCCGATCCCGGAAAAGTTCAACATGAAGTACAAAATTACCTGTGGGCCCGGGCATCGGACCGAGTCGCTGGTTTTAAGTCCGACCTGGATCTTGATGTACGAAGACCATCACAAATCCCTAGTTTATAGGACATTGATCTAATCCATCTTCAGTCCCGTCTCAAAGGGCAAGCACAGCCGGCTTCTACCCAATTCTGATATAAAATAGTTCAATGAAATCTCCAAGCATACCCACTGGATTATTTACTCTATCTGGACCCAACACTGGTCAATTCATTTTCCTTTTGGTTCTACAGAACTCGTTGAATCAACGCCCAATCGCACATGGTGACAAATAGGATCCCAATCACCTGAAGGCTTGCTCTCTTCAGGGTAAGTTAATTGATTGCTTGTCAAGCTCTGTCAGAAACTGACCAAGTACGATCTTCTCAGTAGAACTGGAATCTCTGTGGTGGAGCGTAGCTCTTCCTCTCTCACATAGCCGGTTCTTGAAGTAGCCTGCTTATTCCATAAGCTAAGTACACTAACTGTTCTTTAGTCATTACATTTGCACCACCAATTGTCGGCACATGCTGCTGGTACTGTCTCGGTGGGTTGGAGCTTTGGTCTCTATTGTTGAACGATACAAGGGAATGTGCTGTATATCGCAGATAAATTACTAGACCATACTACACATGTGCTGATTTTATGGAGCTACACAGGCGGAAGGTACTCGTAAATGCTCTAACAAAGTAAAGAATCTAAAATTGATCTCGCTATGTCTCTGTGTCAACCTCCATCATGGGACAGTGCATTAATGACATTGGATCAAAGTTCTCCAAGTTCGGCCAGAATTGCACCATGAATGTAGGAAGCGATTCTTCAGAGATGTGAGGATCCCCAATCCGATCATAGCACAGGTTGGGCTCACCTATAGAATAGCTTTCCCCCGAGAGTGAGAAATCAGGAACAGGCTCAGTGCATGATGCTCTCGATTGTAGGTTGTCACTTGATCCTGATTCTCTGATGACCGCCATATTACTAGTATAACTTGGACGCAGAGAAAGTACATTAGAGGGAGGCCGTGGCATGTTCTGGAATTGGCTCATTGTCACCTATCGGAGCAAGTAAGTACTTCTACTCGTCCAACATTTTGTTATTGCATATGATACTCACGTTCAATTTCTGCAGATATTCGGTAGCTAATGAGCTCTTCGGAGCTAGTTCTTCAATTATTGTCTTACCTTCAAAAGCTTCTCGAAGGACAGCACCCTTTGTTGCAGAGGAAGCGGGTATCTTAAGCATGAAGACAGTAAGTGACATGATGGCCGCGTAGGTTGTGGATAACATTGTAGAGCGAGCGGAGTAATTCACCACATTCGTTCTGTGGAGTGAATAGCCTGCGCTCACAAGGTTGCGTGTCACGGTGAAGTATAACTTTAGGTAGGAAAGAGTCGAAGGGTCGATGTAGCTCTCAGCGTTTCGAGGAGTCAACTCTAGCAGCGGCTCATAGAGGGCCATCTGCACGTACGCATAAGCGATGCGCAAAAGTTGTCGAATACTGCATGTACTCAGAGCTGAACCCTCCAGAACGCAGGATTTACAACTCACCGTTCAATCTGAACAGATCCCTGAAATCCAGGTCGGAGCTCGTTTGGAAGATTCTGAAACCACTCTTTCAACTTGTTTTCAATCGACCGCATGCCAGATTTCCGTATCAGGCCTTCTACATTGGTTATAGATCCCGCCGTCAAGCTTTGTAAAACCTTGCGATGTCTCATTATCGCTGGCAACATCGCGGTGAGGGCGATATGCATGTTAATTCCAGTAATCACGGTGGTTGGATCTTTCCCAGGATTTGTATCACTTTCTCCTGCGGCATAATCCTCCATTATTGGTTGAGCATAGGACTGGCAAACATCGTTAATACTCAGCAATGGTGGGATGTCAAGAAACGAGCTGCTGTATATATCTAGTCGCCAGATGGTCCAAAAAACACGCTTTTGGGTTTCACGTGCGACAAGGTCATGAGGATCAATCTCAGGTCGATGGAAACCTAGAGCCACTGCCGACCGAAGCGCGAGGCCTGTGTAGGAATAGCACTGCTCCAATTGACCAGATGACTGAAAGTATATGGCAATGAAGCACAAAGTCTGTAGTGAAATAAGGGTGTGATCCTCGACAGCGTTGAATAGCCTTAATGCCAACCCTAGATAGTATGACCTACAATATATCGTGTCAGAATAGTGTGTCCGCTATTGAAGCAACTCAATTGGAAAGGCAGATACATGCTGACTGACCCTTCATTGATGTTATTTGTGAAAGGGTCCTGGGAAAGTCTGCATGGTAATTCGCTCGAGAAATGGCTTCCCAGCGCTAGTGTAGCAAAGAGCAGAGCAAGCGAGTGGGGGTATTTCTGCTGAAGGGAATCAAACGGTAAGCTGTACATCAGTTCAACCATCGCATAGAACGATGGTTCGTGCACAAACTTTTGCAAGGCGCATGCATCTTCTAAAGCATATCGTAGCAATTGGTAAGCAACTTCCTTGCTCGGAAGGCTCTTGCTTATACCCGATCCGCCCTCTGGAAAGACCGGTTGTTGCGATGATACAGTGGGTGATTTCTTTCGATCCTTAACAATTAGCGAAACCAATAATTGAATGCGAGAATTGAGACCCTGTTACCTACCATCGAGTTGCTACAGCTGGTTAATGGTGATATGTTGGGGTTTGGGCTGGCAGTGACTACATTGGTTGCTCTGACTGTGGGAGAGAACCTCTGTGACTGGGTGGTGGGGCCTGTCTCATGGTTCTCAAAGCTCAGGTTTGCGTCCACGGCCCTGAGCAATCTCTCAGCCTTTCCCAAGCGTGCTTCTAACTGACGGACGTGTTGGGCGACGGATTTGGAACGACGAGATGGAGCTTCATATGTACAGTCTATGAAAGCGGAATTAGGTGAGGGTAGGCGTGCATATCCAGTAAGAAAGCTTACTTTGCTCGTAGACCCGGCAGTGAGTACAAGGTGATAGACCGTCACACTTAATCTTCCATCGTCGGCATTGATCGCAAGCCTTTGTGACTCGACGCCTCTTGGGTATGTTACGCGGGTCGAGAGTAGGCTCCATCGAGAGATCAATCATTACTTGGCGGGCGGGGCCGGTTAGATTTGCGTGAAGTTTTTGGTATGGAACAATGGGAAGAAGGGTCATTGCAGAAAAGAGGGATTTCGCCGTGTGGTGAAAATCCATGTCGATTATTAATCATGATGTCAGGCTGGGGGGTTAGGGTCTCAACTAACTAGTTAGTTAATTAACTAGCGCGTAAGCAGCCGAACCTTGAAAAACTTTATATCCAAAGTCCCAACCAGGGGGTGCTGGTTATGAGCTCTACTCTAACAAGCTTCAGATTTTTCTGAAATTATCTACTTTGTTGGTCTGTGTAGCAGTCCTCAAAAATTTCGCCACATCTGTACTACGGTTTGCGGCTCGCCCGTTTTCGTCTCGTACAGGCGGGGTATAGTGACCCAAGTACCTCTGCATCTTGACCGCCCGATCTCACCGCCTACTTCTCTCCCCACTGCTGATACACGCTATAACGCGCAACGCATATATCATAACATACAGTTCACTTAGATAGTAGCCCTAGAGAATATTGTTGGGAACAAAGACTAGAATATTCGATATTATGAAGAGCTCAATAAAAATTGAAGGCTTTTGGCGTGACAGAAACTCTGGCAGAAAAATAGGGAGAAACACCAGGGTATAGATTACTTGTGGACGACCTGTTACGCGGTGCCTACTGGTCACGGTGAGTAGAGCTGCCTCAGGGTTATACTTGCCTAGTTCCACTGCGGATTCCAAGAGTATCTCGCAACCGTACCGTTGCTATGCTAAGCCTTACACGGACTCGGGTCCTGTTGAGTATCTTGCAGAATGTGCCAGTAGTGCGCGCCAAGTAAGTCAGTCACTAAGTGTTGCCACGAAGTGAGCTCCCCTACTTGTAGGTTGGGTTGTCTTGAAGATGAACTGTGAGGTGCAAAGTACTGCTGGTGGTAACCAAGTAACAATGTGAGAATTGATCGCGAAGAACTAAATACATGATAATGAAAGAGTGTCCTTATATATCCAGTCCTTCCTATCGGTGATGAGTCTCGACTCATTACTGATGCGCCAGGGCTCATCGCTGATGAGTTCCTGCGCTGGCAATCCTATCGGTGATAGGATCTAGTCACGTGGCTGCCCGATCGGGTAGTTTGTTGTGCCAAACAACATCCGAGATATATGTAGCTATACACACAGGATAATGTCCGCCTCAAGGACACGGTGTCCTTGATCACTCTGATCGTGGTTGTGTAAATGTCCTTTTACACGGGCCCACTTTGCTCCTGGGAGCACCTTTTCTGTGTGATCTTGCTCCTGGGAAGCACATGTGTAATGCTCCTTATTGGTTGCATGTGACTCCTGCAGGTGATGATGATGATGATGATTCATATGCTGGCCCCTCGCCTAAGACGATATGCAGGATCTACTATCTATACTCTCTATATATATTTTTAAACATAAACTATTATTTTTCTGACGAACTTAGAGTCTTATTAAGATTTGTATCAACTAATATCTGGGGTTATATTCTACTATTTTTATAATATATAACTTTAAAATCTTTACAATATCTCTACAAGTCTAGTACTATTCTAAGAATACTACTATCTAGTAGAACATCTTATAGTCTATTTTTTCTATTTTAATCTACTTCTAGTATATCTGATATATTATTAAATACTTTTCTAATTTTTTATTATAATATTTAGTATAGTATGCTAAGCCGCGGGCAGTCGATTAATATATATACTACTATTTTTATTATCTTATATTTATATAAATTATTTTTTTAGAAGTTATATTATTTTCTATATATTACCAGCTATAAGTAGCTTGTGCGAAGTTATATAAATAGATATATTTAATTCTATAGAAATAAGCTATATAAATAATAAGACCTGCTGGATAATAGATCTTAGTTAATATAATATAAAAATTCTTTATTTTTCAAGATTTTTAATTCTTATTCCTATTCTTAGTAGATCTTTTTATATATATATTCTTTTTTCTATAAGAAAAGATATTTAAAAAAATATTTTTTTTATATATTTATTATATTCTTAGCCAGCCGGTCAGCTGTTTTATTTTTGGAATCTCTATAGTAATCCGGTATTTATTATAATTATAGTAAAATTTCTTAGGCTTTCAGCTCGCCAGCTAAATAATAAATAATCTAAATAATATACTAGTCTAATTTATTCTACAAATTTCTGATTATCTGCAGAACTAATATATTATTACTAAAAATTATTACCGGTTATTAATTTATTATTAAGTTTTCTTAGTTTCTCTGTACTAGTTAGAAAACTAATTTAATAATATAATAGATTATTATAAGCTCGGCTGTATAGACTGACCAGTACTTTATTAAACTAATACTAACTTATTAAAATCTTAAAATCTATTAATTATAGTTAAAAATAACTGCTGCTGTATTTATCTGATTTTACTTTTCTAATATATTTAAAAAAACTACTATATCTTATTTTAAATCTTATTTAGCTAAGACTTAGAGCTGTGCTTTTTCTTAGTCTGATTTAATTTTAATTTTAGTAAAAGTCTGTACCTGCTATAGTACTAATAGTCTTAGATTAATAATTTTAAGGGCCTATAGATATTTTAAATCTATAGTTTATATTATCTCTGCTAGTAGATAATATGCTATATTATATATATATATACTATATTTTATAACTTGTTTTATAATCTTTTATACTGAATAGTTATCTAGTAAGATATTTAACCAGACTACTATTATTTATTCTTGCAGTTTTAGTTGCAGATAAATAGACAGTATATATAATTTGATTTTTAGAGTATTAGTAGATACTGTTTAAAAGATTAAAAGAATATAAATGTTAGGAACTACTTGACACAGTAGACACGCTGATTAGGCAAGAAAAATAATAACAATATTATATTAAAGTAGTCAAAAATAAAAACAGTCTTCTATTAATTTTAAAACTAATTTATAAGAAATCTCCTTTTCTAAAAAATTCTAGAATAATATATAATATAAAAAGAAAATAAATAATATAATAATATAAATATCTAGATTAAAAATCTAATAAATCTATATTAATCCCAAAGCAGACTGCTATAATAGTAGATATAAATTATTATAATAATAAATATTATATAATAATTATACTTTTTTGTTAAACCGGGTTATTTAATCTAATAATATAGCTGTAAATAGCTTTACTATTTATTCTAATTAAATATTTCTACTAGTAGTATTTTTTAAATAGTAGAATTTGGTATTATAATAATAGAAAAATTATCTAATAAACTATATATTATATAAATAAAAAATTTTAAAAATAATAAATAGAACACGTATTTTATTAATAATCTAATTAGAATCTGATATAAAATATATATATAAATAAAGAAGATTAATATATTTTTATTTATTTTTATATCTTGACTTTCTATTAAATTTTTTTTTATATTTTTTTTTTTTATTATATTTACTTTTATTTTTATTATTTATTTTATATCTGTCTGTTAATTTATTTTTTTAAAGCTATTATTTTTATTTTTTTTTAATATAATACTAATAATTACTTACTGTTATTTAACTAATATACTTATTATATTTAAAATCTTCTTTTATTTTTATTATTTAAAAACTAGTATTAAAAAATTTAATATTATTAATACAAAAAATTTTATTTTTAATTATATTTTTAATACTATGGCATCCGTAGTATATAAATAGTATTTTAATAAAAATCAGATTTATTATTAAATATATTTTAACAGTTTTTCGGTGGATTTATTAAACTAATAAAAACTAAATTTTAATTAATATACTAAAAAATATTCTTAAATTCTTATAAATTCTTAACTAAAGTTAGAAGTTTTTTATTAACTATACTACTTTTAATTAGAATCTAAATTAGAATCTAATACTCTGTATTTAGATTAGTTATTTAATTTTAATTCTAACTACCGGCTTTAAGACAGCTGAGCTGGTTTACTACTATAAATATAAATTAATAAATATTAATAAGTTTAAGATTATTATATATTTTTTATTAACTTTCAGTTAATTTATAAACTAATTTATTAATTTAATCTAATTTTCTATTATTTTTTTATTATAGGCTGTTATTTTATTATAGATAATCCGACTATATTTTATTTAATATCTAAAAATAATAGATTTCTTTTATAAATTAAAGCTAAATAGATATTTTTTAAAAAAATCTACTGTAAAATATATATTATATATAATAATAAGACCTTTTTTTAGGATTTTTATATTTAGAAAGTAAAGTAGTTCTAGCTTTTTACTACTTATTTTTTATAAAAATAGTATTAATTAGCCGGATTAGTCTAATAGTTTTTTAATAAAAATCCGGCTTATTTATAAAGCTTTTTTATTTTAATTATATATTTTAGTATTAAACTTTAAATATATTTAATATAGTAATTCGGTATAAATTCGGTTGTTTTTTTTATATTTAAAAATAAAATATTTTTTATTATTTTAATTTTTTTTTTTATTTTTTATAGCTTTAAATAGCTTGCTGAATATTATTTATAAATTTTTCTAAAATTTATTTATTATATCTATTTAGCCAGTTTATTTATTTAACTAGAAAATATTATTTATTATTAAAAATCTGCTTATTTTTAATATTTTTAATCTTAAACTTCTTTTTTTTTAAAATCTAAAAAATAAAATTGGTTTTATAAATTTATACTAGATTTTTATTATTTTAATAATAATATATAAAAGATATTATAGATTCGACTGTAGCAGTCAGATAGAAAAATTTAATATATTAATTTTTTAATAGCTGTTAGAATTTTTAAAAATTTAATATATTAAAAAGCTAGCTTTTAAAATAAAATTTTAATTTTTAAATTTTTAGTAAACAGCTTTACTAGATCTTCTTTCTTAAAGATTATTAGCTGGTATTTTTTATTATAATATTTTTTTTATATTTTATTAGCTTTTTGCTAGTAATTTTATAAATTCTTTTATAATATAGCTAGTTTATTAATTTAATTTTTAGCTACAGAAATCTTTCTCTAAAAAATACTAATCTTAGTATAAATATAAAGGCTGGTAAATAGTC